TTACATGTTATATATTAATAACTAAAGAACTATCAGGTTGTATTAATGACAGTAAAAAACAATATAAGATTAAAATATAATAAAAAAATGTTATAAAATTATAAAATTAACAATTCTTCCATAAAATGTAAAAATGTAATAAACTTACATAATATATTAGATGTGAAACGATGTAATATGTTATCATGTCAAGTGGTAAAGCGATAATGTTATTAATACATAATATAAAAATGACTATTAGAAGTTAAAGGTTATTGAAAATATGAAAATCAGTTATTTATAAATAAACAATCATATGCCTTGTCAAGTAAATCCGTATCTGTCTGTAAATTTAAACTGTTCTTTTGACGATGAATATGTAGCATTTCTGATATGAGTCTTTTATTTAAAATAATCTCCTCGTCAAGAATTTTAACATTATCCCAATCAAATTCATGCGAGAATTCTAGTCTGTGATCTGTAATTACCGATTTTTGTTGCGTGTTCCTATTAATATGATTTTTGTGTTCTGATATTCTAGTTTTTAGAGTCCTCTTTGTTTGTCCCACATATGTTGCATCACAATCACAACAAGAGATCTTGTATACTATATTAGAGTGTAACATAGTCTGTAATGTGTCTTTCTGTACTTTAATAATACTGTCCAAATTATTGATACCTTTATAAGCCAGTTTATAAGTTTCACATTTATTAAAATAATTCTTAATTTTATTAGGCAAATTAGATATATATGGCATTGTGTTGAAAGATATTTAGCTTATGGTGTCCCTAAAGTACACAAAATGGATAATCCTTTACGTATTATTATATCTTCTATAGGTAGTCCATTACACAATTTAGCCACTTTGTTGCATCACATTCTCAAAATAAGTATACCTAAAAATGAATATTCAGTTGTTAATAGTTTCCATATCACGAAGAATATTCATAAATTACGAATTAAAGAGGAAGATCAGTTGTATTCATTAGATGTAGTATCTTTATTTACGAATATTCCAATTGATTTAGTTAATAATAGTATCAATAATAAATGGTCTGTAATACAAAATAATACAAATTTGAATAAAGAAGAATTCATGATTGCCATAAAATTAGTATTAGAGTCTTCCTTTTTTATTTTTAATGACAAAATTTATAAACAAACATATGGGGTTCCTATGGGTTCTCCATTATCACCCATTATAGCTGACTTAGTTTTACAAGAATTGGAAGTAAAATGTTTAGACAGTTTAACTATACAACCCACATTTTATATGAGATATGTGGACGACATTGCTTTAGCAATTAATCAAGATAATATAAATATACTTTTAAATAAATTCAATAATTATCATCCTAGGATTCAGTTTACATTAGAAGAAGGTAAAAACAGACTTAATTTTCTTGATGTTACTCTAATAAAAAATAATAATTCTATTATATATGATTGGTATCAAAAACCAACATCATCAGGAAGATATCTTAATTATTTTTCACAACACCATGAGAGTCACAAGATAGGAGTTATAATTAGTTTAACGGATAGAGTTCTACATTTGTCTCATCCATCCTTTCACGAACAAAACTTAGACAAAATTATAAAAATTTTATTACATAATGGGTATCCACTTAAATTGATTTTTGATACTATAAAGAGAAGAATATATAAGAAATTGGATTTACATAATAATATTGATAGAGTAACTAATAATGACAATAATCTTAATAATAACAAAAAGTTAAATTATTTCACAATGCCATATATATCTAATTTGCCTAATAAAATTAAGAATTATTTTAATAAATGTGAAACTTATAAACTGGCTTATAAAGGTATCAATAATTTGGACAGTATTATTAAAGTACAGAAAGACACATTACAGACTATGTTACACTCTAATATAGTATACAAGATCTCTTGTTGTGATTGTGATGCAACATATGTGGGACAAACAAAGAGGACTCTAAAAACTAGAATATCAGAACACAAAAATCATATTAATAGGAACACGCAACAAAAATCGGTAATTACAGATCACAGACTAGAATTCTCGCATGAATTTGATTGGGATAATGTTAAAATTCTTGACGAGGAGATTATTTTAAATAAAAGACTCATATCAGAAATGCTACATATTCATCGACAAAAGAACAGTTTAAATTTACAGACAGATACGGATTTACTTGACAAGGCATATGATTGTTTATTTATAAATAACTGATTTTCATATTTTCAATAACCTTTAACTTCTAATAGTCATTTTTATATTATGTATTAATAACATTATCGCTTTACCACTTGACATGATAACATATTACATCGTTTCACATCTAATATATTATGTAAGTTTATTACATTTTTACATTTTATGGAAGAATTGTTAATTTTATAATTTTATAACATTTTTTTATTATATTTTAATCTTATATTGTTTTTTACTGTCATTAATACAACCTGATAGTTCTTTAGTTATTAATATATAACATGTAATTATTTAATATTCTTTGTATTTCTTTGTTAACATAACGTTGATAATTTAGTTTGATTTATAATGTACAGTGTTCCAGGAAGCACTTTAATATCATTAGATGTACATATTGATAAGGATCCGAATGAGGATCGAAACGTATACAATTGTTCTACAATAAAGGATTTATTTATCACACACCAACATCTTGTGAAGACTCGAATGACATTATACATCATAATATTATATCATTATCATAATATTACATATTTCATAAAACAAGACCATACTTCGCAATTTTTACCTACATATTTTTATAACCATATACGTAACAGGCTCTCATCTTCTCACCTAGCTTGACAGCGTCAGGTAAGGTTGGCACGGGTACGCAATGGCGGACCAATCACGGGCCGTTCGCGGTTGGCGCATCTTTCATTATAGGTCTTTAGTCTATTCCGAATCGGGTTAGTTTAGCTTATTTTTTTTTCCTAGATGTTGGCAGCTCTCTAAACCGAAAAGTGTTCCGAATCTGACGGATGGTCATATGTATGAATAACACGACCGTCCATCGGATTCGGAACACTTTTCGGTTTAGTTACGAAACTGCCAACATCTAGAAAAAAAATAAGCTAAACTAACCCGGTTCAGAATACTCCCATTATTGTTGATGCAATTTCGAACTGGAATAATTTTATAATTTTTAATTGAAATATTACTCATTTGTACACGCAAATACAGATGATAATGAAACTGAGGAGGCTCCTCAAAGAAGCAACAAAATTATGTTAACGGAAACTTCTACAAATGTAGTTCCACGACCTGTTGAAACGTTTAAAAAAGGTCTACTAAAGTCTGCAAACAACAGTATGGATAAACAAACAGAACTCAATGTTAAAACTGAAGTTAGATCACCATCACCCATACCCGAAGATTCCGTAGGAGAAGAAATAAGTAAGCAGTCAATATCATCTGCTACGTTCAATCAAGAGAAAAAAGTCGAAGAAACGGAAAATGTTCAAAAGCAACAGCAAGAAAAAAGTGAAGTAACATGCAAACGAGAAACATTAGACGAGCAAAAGGAAGAAGAGACGGTAAATAGTAAAAATAAGTGTCAGCAGTCGAAAAATGCAGAGGGAGATGATAATGATAACATTGGACAGAAGACCTCAGAAGTAGAAAAGAAAATTGATACAGAAAAATGTGTTGAATCTGTCGTAACAAGAACGAAACTTGAACCAGTTCAAACTACAAAATTGCAAGGAAAGTCAAAAGCAACCGGTCGAGTAATAGGAGGTTGGATTTAATTGAATATTTTGGTGCTTTCCAGTAAAAGACACAGGTGTACACATGTATTTCATCTTTATTTAACATTAGCAAACAATATAAAAATATTTTGATTTATTGTGTTATATTATGTTATCTGTGTTTCTCTTGTTAGAAAGCACTCTTTATCTTATTATTTAAATAAATATTTATTTAAAATTATTTATGTATTTTTAAAATTTAAATATTTTAATTTTTAAAATATATAGCTTATTAAACTTAAATATATCTGTTTTTTAAACTCCGTTATTTTTAACGTCTATTATTATAATAATGTGCTCATATTAATAAACATTGAGCGCTAATTGTATCACATAAAATCGTTATCTAGAATAGGCGCATTAGAATAGGCGAATATGTTTCTCATATCCAATCAGAAATTTAGAAGAATACACCAATAACAGTGAGCGCTCACTAAACTGTTAAGTCCGTTGAATGCGCCTATTCTAGATAACGATTTTATGTGATACAATTAGCGCTCAATGCTTATTAATATGAGCACATTATTATAATAATAGATATATATCTAACACATAGAGAAGGGCGAATTAATTCGAATTTGGACTAGTATTATAAATTGTGAAGTCGAATCGAATCAAATCTTTGACAATATATTCGAAAACAAATCAAATCGAATTTATTATCAGCAATCTACAGTAAAAAGAAGAGAATATCATATATATGTATACTATACATTGTATAGGTATGAAGTTATTAGCTTTTCGACATTTCATTGTATCAACCGCCGGTCTTCCCTATATTATAATTGTTTATAAAATAAAATTATTTTATTGAATTCATTTAACAAAATTAATTTAGTGAACTTTATTAAATATGTTTAACTTAATTAAACTTTGTTAGATTTAACTTAAAAAGAAACAGTTCTCAAATCACAAAATTTTTCTTAATAAGATTAGATTACATGTAAGCGTGTAACATTGGAAATTCCGTTAAGTAAAAACATTGATTGTTCATGAATGCTATAAGCAGATGATGTATGATTCATATAAATGTAATTTGTTATCGATTTTCTCTGTTCATTCTTACATGTTCAATATCACGTACGAGCGATAAGATGATTTTTAATTTTGATGATTCTTATCAATAATACAATGTACACGTCACAAACGATGCTGTATTTAGATAGCGAATATAATATAGATGTCATGTGATAAATACAATTATAGATATTTAAAATAACATAAGCAATTGATATTTACGATGCGTTTTTTAACGTATACATTTACCGCAGATCATCCTTAAGAAGGGCCTAAAATATGAAAATAGTAAAATTAACAATAAGAAGTGCTTGTGTTTAATCTATCAACTTGCATTGTTATAAAGAATTATTACTAAATTAATTCCTTTTGCGTAAAAAAATTTGTGTGATGAAAATTTGTATATGTACACTTCAGGCCAAAAGTTTGGATACACTTAACAAAAATGTGATAATTGTTATATTTGTATTTAAAAGTCGTGGCATTCTAGCGACAAGCTTATTTAGTGTTTTTAGTGGCAGGAATATCCAGGAATCTTGTAGCACTCGCCAAAGTTCAGGAGCTGACAATGGACACACAACGGGCGAACATACATATTTTAATGCTCCTCAGAGTAGTGTATCCAAACTTTTGGCCTGGAGTGTATATTAGGATGAATAAAAAAAAATTTTTTTTTTAATTGATTAGAAATATCCCCCAAAAGTTAGCTATGAACCTCACAATATAATCTGGATAAAATTTTATCAAAATCGATTAATATATTCAGATTGCCCCTCGACTTTGAAATTAATAAGTTTACACATTTCTTGGATACATGTGTCAAAATTTAAAAAAATATTCGAATTTCATTACAATTTTAATTCAAATCACACCCTGATAAAGCCTAATCAAACCAGAGTAAAACTGTATAATACATAAATGTATAATACATAAAATAATATATTTTAGATTTAAATAAACCCAACATTAGCAACAGGAGAAAACAAGTTACAATTATATTTATTAATATTTATTTATTATTCTGTTTGTGTATGTACATTTATTAAATACAATATTAGGTTTGATTAGGCTGTATCAGGTCTGATTTGAATTGAAATTGTAATAAAATTCAAATATTTTTTCTAATTTTGACACATGTATCTAAGAAATGCGTAAACTTACTAATTTCAAAGTCAAGGAACAACCTGAAAATATTAATCGATTTTGATGAAATTTTACCCAGATTATATTGAGGTCCATAGCTAATTTTTGGATTAGTATTCCTAATCGATTTAAATAAAAATTTTTTTTCGGCTCATCCTAATATGTATATTCGTGTATGTATAACATTTGTTCCTTCCTGTTATGGAAGAATTGCTTCTTGGATAGATAAATTTTTCCTGTCATTTCTGTTATTGAGTGATATTAAACGATATGATCATTTTTCGTATTATGATTAATATGTATAAATATTAATATTATTAGTAATTAAATAACGTACCTTTGTTTTTGATTATCCCCCCCCATTCCTTTCATTTTTATTCCGTTAGTCGCATACTGCTTCTTCATTCTGTTACCTCTTTTATCCTCCTGTAAAGTAATGTATTATATATAGTGGTATTATATCACATTTAGCATATATCATATAAGGTAACTTAATTGACTCATATTTTAATGAAAGAAATCCAGATGTGTGTTCCTGTGTGGGCATACATTTTCTAACAATCGGAACCATATTTCTAGACTTGTTGCGTCCAAAAATAAACAAAACCATCCTTTTAATCCACGTTGCAAATCCAAGTGATTCATGCCAATCTTTAGATATATAGTAAAAATAAATGACTTTTTGCAATTTCCTTACCAGCTGAATAACGGAAACATGTGAAATGAGGAATTCAAACCTACTTGAAATGATTATACGTATGGGAGAATGTCCTAAATCGGACCGTGTTTCAAATCGGACCTTTTTAATATAAATAAATAAAGTTAAGCAGATTTGCGTACTATTTATAAAGTCCTTACTCCTTATAAGACATTTAACATGTGACAGCAGTTTGGCAGTACTCTGTCATAACGTTCATAGAATAGACGCAAATATGTATCTTCGGCTACTACGCGAAAATTTTTTTAAAAAAGAAAATCCTTGTAAATCATTATTTAAAAGATATTAAAAATTTAATTGATTTAAGATAATTAAAGAATGTAGGATTCAAAAATATCAAGAGTTTTGTGATTATTTTTGCGGTTTATTGTAAAATTTATTCCAATGGTTCGAAAGAACCCGTATTTAAATCGGACCTCTCTTTAGGTGTCCAAATCAGACCTATATAGGTACAGTAGATAACTTACAGGTCTCGACTAGAGACCTAGAAAACAGAGATGCGTCATTGAAGGGTATAGCTTGATTGGCTGTCTAAATCACGTGATCAGAGAGCCATTTTAATTCACTATTGCATCTAATATATAATATAATAGATATAGTTTTATAACGTATGTACATATATATAGAGAGAGAAAAATTTAGACAATACAGTGTCGAAGTGCAATAAAAAAACTATTATTATAGTGTAAATATTCTTATTTGTGTGAATATTTAATATCGGACTTAACCTAACCTAATCTACCTTTTGCATCAACTGTCATCAGCTTATTGGTCAAGAGCACTTATATTGAATTAAAATGGCGGTGGTTACCTAACCCAACCGACGCAATGTCGCATCTCTGTTTGTAGGCCTCTAGTTTGCCTATATTCCCGATTGCACACACCACTCACATCGATCAGTGCCTAGTAACTTTTCCGTACTTTACCAATGAGGTTATATTATTTTTAAATTGGCCAATCAGTGAGCAATGTATACAATCGTGCATGTAGGCAATCGCAGCCTTCCTATTAATTAAAATATTTTAAAATTCTGTCTAAAAGTCCATAAAAATAGGAGAGGTCCGATCATAAAACCGCAAAGGTGCTGTTCGAAAGATTATTTAATTTTTTTCATTTTTGCTTTAAACCATTTTGACGTATCTCTTACCTGTGTCGAACTATAATGGAAAATGTAAAAATGCATTCTTCGGTCCGATTTGAACCACTCTCCCTTACTTATTAATTATTATATTGATAATACTATTATATTTTGATACAAATCAAGCATCAACTAACATTAACAATTAATTAACTTGCACAAGCGTTTCTCAAATATTTAATAATGTATACACACAGCTACAAATTGTTTTTTGTAATTATACTTCATAGAATACTCGTATTTTACAGAGGGAGTACACCGTATTCGATATCGTATACCATCGTATACTACATGATAAAAAAAAACCTGGTATATCGGAAAGAGTCTGAGAGCCATAATGATTATTGTGAGTTAGCTGTTACTAGAGTCCTAGATATCAGAGAAGCGCAACCGATGTTCCGCGTCCTGATTAGCTGACTGTCAACCAATCATGACATTCACTCAGTGGTATTAAAAATGGCTGACTAATAGACGATTGGTGGATTTCATATTTCGTCTGCAAACGACGCCATTTTTAATACTTTTCTTAGTAATTTTGCGATACTGACTTAAGCCGGTTGCGCTTCTCTGATATCTAGGACTCTAGCTGTTACAAAATCTTGTAGGTAATATCTGTGATTTCATGATTCTCTATCATATATGCTATTAGATTGGTCAGACATGCGCATGAGATAAAAACGAACAATCAAATGTTTTTGTCTAAACATTTAAACAGTGTGAAATCTCACGGACTCTCCAAATTCAAAAATAAACAATATAATTCTTCAAAGACGAATGAGAATACAGCGATGTTGTTGGGTCGCAAACAAAAAGTAGTCGGATCCTTATAAATTCCTTTATTCAAATGATGAAAGTAAAAATGTTTCGACTTATTTTAAGTCATCTTCAGTTTAGGTTTCCCATAAAGGATCATTACATCTTGCAAGTAAGTCCCATCCAATTGACTGATCAGACGAACTGTGTCTTGCGAGATCCAAATATTTTTAATTAATTTTAATTCTTTGTTCTATATGACAATCTTTGGATCTCGTTAAGACACAGTTCGTCTGATCAATTGGATGGGACTTATTTGCAAGATGTAATGATCCTTTATGGGAAACCTAAACTGAAGATGACTTAAAATAAGTCGAAACGTTTTTACTTATTCATCATTTGAATAAAAGAATTTATAAGGATCCGACTACTTTTTGTTTGCAATTCAACAACATCGCTGTACTCTCATTCGCCCTTGAAGAATTATATTGTTTGTTTTTGTCTAACTCAATACCACGGAAGAGAATTACAAAATCATAGGTATTACTGAGGTTTCCGATTTGTTAAATCGTGATCTTGACATCAACTTAAAATTAATTAATGCTTACGTCTTTAAGTTCACCGATCAAATACTTTTTAAGTATCTTTGTCGCATCTGAAGAATGTCTGAATTCATCAAATCCACTCGTTGCGTCTTTTCCTGCATATTCGTCGATTATTTCTGGACCACCAGGATGCTTCAAATAATATATTTCTATCTATAATAATTTAAATCTAATTTAAACAAATTTAAAAACGGCTATTAGAAGTCAAGTAAGAAGAGTGTGCGCAATAAATGTATACTTTTCATAATATAAAAATATATGTTTAATACTAAATTTTGAAGTAATCAAATAAATAAATTCTATAGTCATAATTTTATTTGACTACTTCAAGATTTAGTATTAAACATATTTTTATATTATCGAAAGTATATATTTATTGCGCACTTCTTACTGCGTTGACTCCTAATAGTCGTTTTTAAATTTTTTTACATTATTTTATTATAAGGAGCCTTTTAATATTATGATCGCTTTTTAAATCTAATTTATTAAATTATTCCTATATATACGCAGAATATATATGAACCCGATTATTTCGGCTAGACTTTGAAATTTTTCCAATGAGAAATGATAATGAAATCGACATCGAATCGATGTCGATTCGACGTCGATTTCATTGTCATTTCTCACTGGGTTTACAGATATACAGAGGAAACAATGTAGTTGACTTATTCAGAAATCTAATGATGCTATATATGACCAGGTTAAATAGTAAACTATGGCAACTATTCATGTGATTGCAGCAATATAATTGTATAGTACGTCATTGCTACAAGCTACACCAGATTGATATTACAGAAAACACCTATTGTAGATCCGGGGTAAAGCCTAATGATTAAAGCAAGGTTGTGGCATATTCTAGGCATATTCTATTGGCTGAATTTTAGAATTTTAGGGTTAAGACCGAAGCATAAATCCAGATTTACAATAGAGATTATGCCTTAAACCATAAGGAATGGACGAATCGTAGTCGATTACACAGGATCACAAAAAAAAAAATTGATGATAGGTTCATTTGACCAGAGGCCCTATTCCGTAACTCGTTAAGCAGTTAACGACATCGTTGCGCAGCTTTTTATACCATAAGATATCTGCGCAACGATGTCGTTAACTGCCTTAACGAGTTACAGAATAGGGCCACTGAGGCCGTATTCTGTAACTCGTTAAGCAGTTAACGACATCGTTGCGCAGATATCTTATGGTATAAAAAGCTGCGCAACGATGTCGTTAACTGCCTTAACGAGTTACAGAATAGGGCCACTGAGGCCGTATTCTGTAACTCGTTAAGCAGTTAACGACATCGTTGCGCAGATATCTTATGGTATAAAAAGCTGCGCAACGATGTCGTTAACTGCTTGACGAGTTACAGAATAGGGCCTCAGGGGGCCTATTCTGTACACGCTTACCGACAACTGTCGGTGTCGTTAAGTAGCGATAGCCAATAAGAATCGCTCTTTTCTCGTAGAACAGTCCATATCATTGGTTATCGCTACTTAACGACACCGACAATTGTCGGTAAGCGTGTACAGAATAGGCCCCCAGACCAGGTTTTTTGTACGTTTTTGGGATCGCTGAACACGAATCTGAAGTCCGTTTTCCTCCATCATGTCAGGAGTTTTTCCTAACCTCAAAAAACATGGCGGATTTCATGTGACCGGAAAACTTTTTTAAATAACGACGGATTTGCTTGAAACTTGGTATTTGGGGATTTTTGGGGTAATCGCTGATTACGAATATGAAGTCAGATTTTCAAAATAAATATCCAATATGAGATCGAGATGTCCTTTATTTAGTAATTACCTATATTTAACCATTACATTATTCAACCATAACCAAGAACAATGTCGTGGCATGAGGAAGCTTATCTTTCATTTAGGATGTTTGATTAGACTTATGTATCTACCCTCGCTTCTCAACATTCTCAAATGAGATTTAAAACTTCGAAATAGACATTCTACATATCTTGTGTTGTAGTGTAATAACGAGTTTTTTTAGTTTTGAATGATCTCCGTAATGCTTTTCTTTTATGTTGGTTTGATGTGTCTCTCTAGCTTTAATGACCAGCAGTAGTCTGACAACATGTGACCATAAGCACCCTGATATCTACTCTTTTCAATTTCTTGTAAATCCTGATGGAATCTTTCGCCTTGCTCTTCACTAAAATCACTCAAATTATCTTTTTACTTCATATTTGTAATCAGCGACCCCTAAAACCCCCAAATACCAAGTTTCAAGCAAATCCGTCGTTATTTAAAAAAGTTTTCCGGTCACATCGTCACATGAAATCCGCCATGTTTTTTGAGGTTAGGAAAAACTCCTGACGTGATGAAGGAAAACGGACTTCAGATTCGTGTTCAGCGACCCCAAAAACGTACAAAAAACCTAGTCTGGTCAAATGAACCTTTCATCAATTTTTTTTTGTGATCCTGTGTTATTCTTCTCGAATTCGACTGTAATTGGTTAATTTTCTTACGTCTTAAGACTTAAAACATTTATTATAAATCCAGACATAAAACTTTGCAGTTCCCAAATATTTGACTGTCGAATGTAAAATAAGACACTCGCCCGTACATTCTTTCTCTACATTATGTATAATTTTGATATCGATATTATTGATATGTTTTATTTTAAATAAAATTTTTCGAGTCTTACACAATTCAACTTTTTCTACTTAAAAAGTAATTAAAATAAAGAAATGAAAAAGTGAATCATTTATAAAAAAAATTTTTCATATCCTTTTTAAATATACTTTTACATAAAATATGTAAAATATTTATTTTCTAATCTTTTATTTTAACGCTTTTTATGGATAAAATATATTATAATAATTTAATATATGTAAAAAAAATTTAATTGCTTAAGGGGAAAAATATATCTACACTTTTTGATACACGATTTTATATATGTATGTACCTGTTGCATATAATCCGTTACATCGTAAATGTTGTCATGGACGACGATCCATGTTCTCGCTCCGTTTTTGCCGTTGCACTTCACAACATCTGCGAGCGAATAGCGAATTGTTGGATAGGACATGCTTCTACTAAACCTTTTGTGAAAAAAAGAGAGAGAACTTTGCATCCGCAAATGTAAGTAACATGTGCCAATGTTCTGAGGATTACGGTGCTCGCAGAAAATATGAAAGATAAGCATATCGCGATTTTAGAGAGGCATATATTGATAACTGAGTCCATTATTACTGTCTCAGTACTATATCGTGCAACTGATGCAAAATAATGTCACTTTTCTGCACATATTGTTGTAACTTTCCCATAAATCGTCGCAATTATAATTTAGGCAGGGCTGGACACATGTATTTAAAATATCTTTATTTAAAACACAGCCTTCGCAATAAAAGTAGATTTTATATTTTATATTTTAGCGGTGTACATGAAAGATTACGTATTTTGTATTTAAAATTGAAAGGTTGAAAACTTTATGTATCTCATAATTTAAATAATAACATTAATCGTCAATATCTTTTAGTATTTAAAATACAAAATACTTTCAATCTTTTATTATTAATACCGAAATATACAAAATATAAAATATTTTTATATACTTTTTTCCATAAAAAACATAAAAGGCAGAATATTTTCATGTATGTACACCGCTAAAATACAAAGTATATATGATATAATCGTCTTACAAATACTGTTATCAAATAAAAGTATTTTAAACACATGTCCAGCCCTGAATTTAGGCGACTATAACAATGATGCATGTCACGAAAACGTATTCGCAATATATTATCAAAGCCGCAACGAGAAGAAATGTGCTTATGTTTTAATCACACATTCTAATCAATTGATGCAAGGGAAGAGAGGGCAAAGTGGAAAATATATGGCAGCACATTTTTTTAAATAGCTGTTCCAATATATCTGAACGTGCCACAGACGGGATCTTAAGTATGTGATGAGTTGCTATCTTATTTCGTAAGATAACGATTTGTAAGGTCTCTCGGATATTTGATAGGTACATGATATTTTCTGTTTTGCCCTCGCCTTCCATTTTGCCCTCCCTTCCCCTACATAATTTTAAAGAGAGATATTGTATACAAGCAAATTTGCGTGCGTGCGTGCGTGCGTGCGTGCGTGCGTGCGTGCGTGCGTGCGTGCGTGCGTGCGTGCGTTCCATTCGTTATATGTATAACGATTATGAGTCTATTACTTGATATTTTACACACACACGGGCGGGTGCAAGAGAACGGCCTTCGGCCAACCCCCCGCACCCACACCGTCACAGGGGGTCTGCCCCAACAGTACTATCATAGCAACAGTATAATCGTAGAAGTCGTGTGCCCCTGTGCAGAGGGGGGGATGAAAGTTACTTTACAAATAACGTAGGTGCTTCCCATTTTCTAGATATTTACCATGGAAGTCGTGTGCCCGTGCACAGGGGGGAGGGGGATGAGAGTTGCTTCGCGTAGAAGATTTAACACATTCACATAAGGAGAGGGGATGCAGAATAGTACTTAATATCGTACATATATAGCAGAAATAGTAGGTTATTTTAAAATCTTTTTTGGTTAATAACTTTTCAACGAATGACGAGCGACGGGAATGGTCAATGACCTTGACCTTCTTGAGGGTCAAGGTCAAGGTCACTCGGAAGTCATTTGCGGTTGGCTGTGTAATTCGAAATATTTACCAGATTATCTTCTGTGACACGCTGTACATACGAGTAAGGATATATATATATATATATGTATACCATATATATGATATTTAGATACTTGACAGAATATTACTCGCAAATGGGAGAGCATAGAGCTCGTAAGTGAGAAGGCGAATGCAGGAAATGGAAATTATTGTGTCTGAGACTTTAGAGTGAAAAAATAAAATACATATAGGCCAATAGTTTTTATAGTTTTTATTTTAAGACCGTTTTAAGTAATATCTTATATGGGCTTTCTACAGTAAGGAAGGCATCATCTATAAAGCTATAATCTCAAGCCGTAATAAATTGACAAATCATAGTCAGTTATTTATATCGTTCGATTGTAATTGGTCAATTTCTTACGACTTAAAATTTATATGTATCATATATTAGGTAGTGGCTTATTATAGAAAGTTAATTAATCAAGATGCTAATACGGTTCCGATTAGCAAATGACTTGTAACGTTTTAAGACTGTACTTAAGACTTATATATAAAAATTAACTATAAATACTAACTTAATTATTTTATTTTGACAAAATAATTTAGTAGGAGTTAAGATAGTAGGAATTAAATAATCAACAGTAAAGAGAAAATTCCTGATTACTAAAATCATTCTTTTAGCTTATACATATATTACGGAAGTGACAATACATTAGTATAATATATAATTAAAATGTTCGTGTTATTCTACAAAATATCAAATTTTTTTCATCTTTCTGCATATTAAGATTCAGCCGAGGATTCATACCATTTCGACTTTTTCAAATCAATTCCTTTTAATTTATTCCTATAATTATTGAGAAGCTTATTAAATTTTGCATCATCTGCATCAAATTTCTTCGCTTTTTTCAACTAAAAAAAATAACATTACAAGTGTTATAAAGTCTGTATTCCGATATTCACTACTAATGGTGAAAACTTACAATGCATGTAACATAATACTACAGATTTTTAGCATTGACAGTGAATATCGAAAGACAGCCCAAAATATCCATAAATAAAAAAATTCTATACAATTAAAACAAATTTTTAAAAAATTTAAATAAAATTTTTGTGAATAAGAATCATAATTAATATATCTTACTGGTATGTTATCTTGTCTTTTCTTCATCTTTTCCTTTTTTACGATGTTTAATTGTTTTGCCGTTTTATTTAATTTCTTCTGTTTTTTTACGGTCATCGTATGTAATGCAGCTTGTGACTTGAGATTAAAATTTGATCTTAATTTATCCTGGCCTAATTTGCTGGTCATGCCTGCATATGACTTTTCTTGGTCATTTAATTTTCTGACTTTAACTCGTTTAGTTCGAACTTCTTCCTTGTCCTTATTTTTCCTTTTATCTGTGTTTCCAGACCACAACGGATTGTGCTCGCGACTTTTCCGAATTCTTCTTTCTTTTGCATTCACCAAGATACGATTCTCTATCGAGAATCCAACTATAGGTCTCTATATCAAATTTATAAATTGATATATTCGAGGTCAACATGATTAATAATAAAAATTAAATTATAATCTTACTCTGCTTTTAGAAAATATATTTGGATTGTTGTTTATACTTCTTAAAGCTTTAAGCGCATCTTCATGAGTGGTAAATGAAACAAATCCATACTCCTTCGATTTTCCTTTCCCCGTCACATGAACATTTTTTAAATCACGCATAACTCGCGCCTTAAAAATTGTAAATAAAATTAATTAATGCCTATATAATTTCAAATGTCATTAAAAAAGTAACATTTATATATTTTGAATAAAATTACTTCTTTAATTATAGCCTTAGGACCACTGTGATTTTTAAATAACTGTCTAAGTTTTTCATCATCAAAATTGGAAGGTAAATTATGAACAGCCAGCCGCACTCTCGATACAAACATATTCAAGTTACGTAACATCTGAGATTTCCATTGCTCTAATTTCAAACGTTTCTCCATATCGGATACTGATACTTCCGCTGCAGCTGGACTTTTGGCCAGCACAACTAGAAATCAATAGTGATGTTAAAATTGTTTTATATAACAATATTTCGTGATCAGATCATTACCTCCTTCTTTGATGAGATATAAATTCCTAGAATCCTTAACCCTTTTTATCTTTGAAATCGTTTTGTCCTCAACTTCATTTCTGTGTAATGCTCTGTAGCCTTCGATTATTTGATCATGCAAACGTAATTCAGTTCCAGCTGACAAACACTTTTCGGCGTCTTCAACATGCTACATAATAAAATATTTCTTATAATAATAACAAACAAAACTACATTGAAAGATTCAAAATACATCTAATCTAAAAGTAAATTAATGGTAAATGTTGTCAATAACGGACCTAGCGCCGATGACCTTGACTTAACATATATTGTTAAGGTAATGACCCTGAGTGATCTTCAAAAGATTTTACTCTGAGGTCGTCTTTGCTAAAAAGTTATTAACAAAAAAAATACAATATTTTATAATTATATGACACTTTATATACGCTGCATGCATTTCTGTTGCCATATTACCTATTCAAAATAAGTTGTCTGTATTTTTCTTACTAATATCAACAATGAGTATAATATTTGCGCGAAGTTAAATCCACCCCACCTAGCAACATCCAATTTTCCATGCAAAGTGAGATCCACTCCATCTCACTCCTGCCTAGAAAAGATTCAATTCATCCGTTAATAACTTTTTAAGGAACAACAAGTGACATGGATGAACCTCGCTTTGCATGGAAAGTTGAATGTTCCTAGATGGAGTGGACTTCGCCCGAAAAATCGAATATCTAAGCAAAGAGAGATCTCGCTCTGTGTGGAAAGATATATTGAGTTATTTATGATAGTTATAATTGATTAATTAAATTATACAGTTAAAACGTTAGTGTTGATGATTTAGCCCGAATCTCCACATATCCAGATATCCTGATATCCGGATAGTTGTCAACCCTACTTATTTATATTGTCAACTTTACTTGTAAATAACTTTTAAATGAATAACAAGCACGGTCTAAAATCTGCCTCCAGAAGGTACGATATTGATAATATATATTAAGGTCAAGATCATCAGAGCTGAGTCCATTATCAAATTAATTACGCTTACTCGAAATTTAACAAATGCAGTGCCTCTAGAATATTCAGTCAGAGGATCCATACACACGAGAGCATAGTAGACAGATCCAAATTGCTCCATACATTTTTTAAGTTCATCATTTTTAACAGAGAATGGTACATTCTTTAGAAAAATTGTTCTTCCTTCACTAACATCATTAGACACTCGATTTGGACCTTTTGCAAAATATTTGTTTTCTTCATAAATGTCTTCTTTCTTAATAACAGATCTATCAATTACATCATTGGAATCATTATCATCATTACTATCATCACTTTCATCTTCATTATCCGTATC